CCAATCTCTAAAATGACATTTCCGCATGTCCGCCATTGTGTCTGTTCGTCCCGGGTTAAAATGTAAACTATTGAAACGAAATTGTTGTCAAATAGATTGATAATTATCACGCGATTACTCGGGATAAAATAACTATTTTTGAGGATAGCAGGTATCTTTGATTGATTTATATAGCGCTTGTATACACACAAAATAGTTATTAATTGCAAACCTACTGTTCGTTGATGCAGTGTCGCAATGACGGTTAATTCCTGATACGATTTGCAATTTCGATGTTACCGGAGTTGACCGATATTTTCGTAAAATTCCAAACCTGTCTCCAATATTTTCGTAATTATGCATCAATATGGTCTAAGGGGGGTACGGGATGGTGTGTATGTATTTATAAGGTATGTATGCATGCTTGAATCACATTCTTTATGTAATATTACCATGTTTTCGGAGTTTAATTAGTTCCGCATGTCGGAACCTGCTGAACGACTAAATTAACACATCAAGGGCAAAATGGTCATGGAGGTTAGACCTAGCAGGGGCCATAAGACATGTCAGATAAGAAACGAGGCCCAGGCTAGGTCTAATGTTGTTGGACTATCTTTGACCAAAACTGAAAGATTTAGACAATGTGCAGAAGGTTGATATATTTGTAACATGCGACTTTATTAGGATTGCATCAAAATAGCGGAAAGCACACATAGACTTTATCGAATTTGTTTATATATATACGTTTATGTTATAAACCATACATATAGTACCTTCAGTATCCAAGCGCTTGACATCCTCTAAACACTGCTGTTGCTTGTCGAAATCTGTGGCTTTTTCAACATTTCTTGAGATATTCAGTTGCTTGTTCAAAAATGTTCGCAATTTGTACATTGAGCTCATGTCCATGTCTCGTGTCTTCACGTCTATGTTATCGTTAGGTACTGTCACTGTTGCCACGGAATTTCTTGACATTTTTGTGGACTGTATCTCTGTTTTTCCCTTTCAGATCTCGTTTGAACGAAATAAAAGAGTCTCTCGGCAATTTCTTTATTTGAAGACAGAATCCCCCCACGATACGCGTCCAGTTTCAATTTGCGATCAAATAAAAAACTATGTATACCTGCACGTGTCAAAACTCAGAATGAAGTTACATGTATTCATCATCACTTAGGATCAACTGGATACGAAGACATTATGTCTCGTTTCAACATGGCCGGACTTCCGGAAACAAATTTTGCTTTTGTTTTCTCGATTCATCTAAGTTGCTTTCCTGCTCCAAATTTCATTTGGATATTTTAAATCATAAAATGCAATTGTTTGGATATTCTACAAATCTATTTTCTCGATTAGGAAGCGAAGAAAGTTTTCCGCTTTGTGTCAATGAAGCAAAGACATGTTTGACTTGGAACAGGGACAATTATCTTTACTGTATTTATCAACGTTGCTATTTGTATTTGGAGTTACATTTGCACTTTAAAGCACAGTAGTTCTTTTTAGAGTTCAACTCCCTTGGGATTTACCGTGACCACTTAACTCAATGAATTCGGCGAACAATTTACTGTGACGATAATTGCTGGCCAAATTTAGGATATGACCTTCATCTTTAGAATTATATACAAGAAGGGGTAACTGAAATGGTACATTGAATTAGTACAAAGTACTTTTTGTAAATCATACTACCATATAGATCAGTCAGTACAACTAGGTGCGTAGGGAAGTGAACATTCAACACTATGAAAATATATATAGGGAGATATGTCAAATCTTATGTGCTAGACCACTAGATATACGCTGGCGAAACGTCATTAATCAACAATGGTGTCCTTAAAGAAAGTGTATTCTAGCGAATATTCCTGTATAGCCGCCAAAATTCTATACCATGACAATCTTATACGACTTCGGTCTGTCGTAATATAACCCTCGCAAGCTCGGCCTTTATTGATGACCGACAGAATCATGAAAATGAACAAAAGTAAAAACGTTGTCAATTGTGTAGCGCCACCTTCCATGTTTTGTAAAAAGCAACAAACTGTATACATATAAATACGATGTCTTCTTTTCATCCTCCAGAAAGCTATGTAGATAAAATTGTTTAAATATCCAATCAGTTAAGTTTTGTATACTAGTATCTGAGATATATTTTGAAACCTGGATTTCCGTACTAAATACGTGCCAAATATTAAGTTTAAATTTAAAGTGATTGAATCGGGAAAACAGAATTTCTTATCCGAAATTCAGATTCCGGAAGTCCGGCCATATTGAAACGAAGACCGTCTTCGTCTACGTTTCGAGTTCCAAGGATTCGTGCAACGACAATTAACTCGGCAACCACTCATGTGCATATCGCCCGTTCCATTTACACGACGCATAAAGAAATCATTCGCGAGCTTATATTCCTACACTCAAATATCAAAAGCACATAAATATAAAGTGATCCGAACATGAACAATAATTATAAATAGATGGCGCATAGATACAAATCGCTTTCAAAACATGTTAAATTCCACTTTTACATACCACAGATATATGAATGACATCAGGCTCGAAGATTTTCCAAGGGGGTTCACTTTTTAAACATTTTTCCAGGGCAAATTTTGACAACTTTGCCCCAGAAGTGGCCAAAATCACTTGAAAAGAGCTCAGAATGCTTCAGCACTGCATGATTTTGAAATAATTTTTGGCCAGGGGAAGGGTGCTTCTCTCGAACCCCCCTAACCGGATGGAATCTACGTAAAATGGAAGTGAGACACGACTGAGAGCAAAATCAACGATATGTCCTGAATTAACAAACGATTTCGAGGATGGCAGATGAAGCTTTAAATTAACACTCGCTTGAAAAGTTAAAGTCTATTATGTATGAATCCTCGTTTGCATATTAACTTATAATTCTGTGAGTAAAACAGAAAAATATATTTTTCAAATATTACTTTATATTAGAGGTCAACGTCCATTTTTGTAAGCATTTAAAATTGTGAATCGCGCACAAGAATGTAATTATTTGCCAAGGCGTGGCAAATTCCATCATATGGCCTTGGCTGTCCTCTTTACAAAATTGCTTCACTACGATTTTAGTAACAGCAAACTTCATAAAACAACATTTTTTCAAAATGGCCCTTTTTAGCAAAATTGTCAATAAACAGTGGGCACCTAACAGTGTACCATGATTGGTTAACATGGAAACGACGATTTTCAAAGATTCATCAAATTTGTCATCAATTTTCGACCTATTGTCATTGAGGAAAAAATTGAGAAAATTTGGAGGTATTGGAAATAAAGTAAAGGCGCTCTCTTTATCCCTCCAAACTTCGTTTGACGAGATAAATATTCTGAATAAATAGAGCGCTTTCGATATGAGTTATTTGATCAACTTGTACGTAAATAACGAAGGCTATTAGTAAAAAATCTCCAGATGTCGGATGTAATATAACGTTCAAATGAATAGTTTAGCAAACCATTTGTAACATTCAAACTGTATTTAATTTCACATGTGCGAGATCTCTTGGTCTAAAATAAAATATGAATTCCTTATATCATTATATACATATTTTAACTCTATCTTATCTCAAATTGACTTTGGATCGGAGATGAACATTATGAAACACCCTGTAATTCCGGAGAGAGTTTATAATGCAACCAAATGGCTCGCTCCAAGAATCGCTAGTACAAATTGGATTGATAAGTGTATCAAAATGGTAGTCAAAGTGTTTGATTGGATACTTAACATATTCAGCTTATTATTTTTTAAATAGGGATCACGGTTCATTAGTCGACGCACATGATTATGCTATGCCTCACATTTGCCTCGATTTTCACTACGGCGCCCGGCCGATAAGTATTTTGTTTAATGCCTGGATCATGTTATTTTACAAACAGGAATCACTCCTTCCCCACATTGTCTACATCTTCCAGTTTTGCACAAAGAGTGCACTTATGTGCCTAGAAAAGACTGGTGAGAAGATTTGTTTTTCAAAATGTATAAAACACGAGAAAATTCAGTGAAATTTTTTTCTGAATTTCTTCACTGAATTTTCTTCTTTTTTTAAACATTTTATCAAAACATTCTTGACCTTAACGAATTTAAAACCTGCGTTCCATTGACTAACTCTATGCGTATGACGTTTCTCTGTGGTGGATCCAGTCTAAGAGATATCCGTGTACGTAGGGTTACACCAAACACAAAAATCATACTTTTAAGTTGGATAATAACGCACCTAATTTTAACATTCTATTAATTAATTGTTGAATTAACATTTACGTTGAACGTTGATTAGAATTGAATGTTCTTTAAGTATGAGTTTTACAAGTAAATGAGTCCATTTTCATTGGTCTTTCCATGAACCTAAATCGAGTTTTCAAACACTGTCTTCAAATCATATAAAGCTATGTGATGTTTCTTGTTATCATGGTAAGTTAGACATTGAAGTTCATAGGAAAATATCTTAAAGAAGATTGGAATGTTTAGATCCTTGTAAAAATAAATTATAACGCATATTTGTACTGAATCCTTAATGATGGTGATGTTGTTCCAAAACGATCCATCGGTGTGCAAGCAGGAGAAAACTCTTTGTCACCAAGTTTTGGAGTTTTTATAAAATCAAACGCATGGCATTGCAACTCATGAGATGTAAATTGCATGTCATTTGCATCATACCTTGATGTAAAAAAATATAATCTATATTATTATTGTAAAATAGGAGTTTAAGCGTGCATATTAAACCGAAACGCTATGACCAATCGCCCATTCAAATGCATCGCTTAATTAACTTACGTTCGCGTTTAGGTTGTGAAAACATGTACAGTGCAAGCTGAAACTTCCCAATGTTGAGAAAATTATGGCTGTTTAAAATTCAAATATAACCATTATTCCTAATCGATCCAGCTTTTGCGTCCATACCGATCCATTATCGTTAGCTGCGTATACCAAGGGTGGACCAGTATGATGAAATATCCACAATTTTCTAAAGTCTTATCATCATCCACAATTCAAGAATTCAAATTTTTATTTCTGATTATTGCAGATATCATGCAGTACAGTGAAAATGCGTGAAATTCTTGACGAAGTGGGCTGTTGCATTGTCGGACAGACAGAGACACTTGTACCGGCCGATAGAATCCTGTACGCCATCCGAGATGTAACAGGAACTGTCGAGAGCGTACCCCTGATATCCTCATCCATTGTGTCAAAGAAGGTGGCGGAGACTTTATCAGCACTCGTTCTGGATGTTAAGTGTGGAAAGGCGGCTTATATGAAGACAGAGAAACAAGCAAGAGATCTTGCTGAAAGTATGGTAAGAGAGGAAACATGACTCGTGGCTATCTTGGACCAAGGGGGAGGGGGTCAGTTTTAAGAAGAATTCCGGGGGGGGGGGCACTTTGACTTTGGCCCAAAATCACATGAGAAATGCTCAGAACCATGAAACACTGGATGATTTTGAAATAATTTTTGGCCGGGTTTAAAAGCGAAAATATGTTATCAACTTTGTATTGGGTGACATGTAAATATCGCTTAAACCTGGAATAAACGACAATTATCAAAAATGCATGTTTACATATTTCTGTTTTTACAAGAATGATTCATACCAATCAAATATTCTTTTTTATCAATGCACGCCGATAAAAAGATGGGCAGAATGGTAGTATTCTTTCTATTCAATTCACCAATGAGAAGCTCAAGAAGGATTGGAAGCCAGGGTTCCAACTCGATATTCTTTAATCTTCAATCGATGCTGTAATTTCTGATCCTGCCTGTATCACTGGTGATCGCTCGATTACGCTGGTTTCGGTAACAAAATGTCGGAACGTCGAAGGTACGCTTTTTCCCTTATTTCACGCGTTGTAGGCAGAGTCCCAACGACGTTTTTTCTCACAAACGTGTATCAGTATCATATGTTTTAGAAAATGTACGTTTGCGAAAAAATAGCTCAGCAGACAACAGTATCGTCGATTTAATTCCTCACTTAAGTTACATAAACGGTTTGGGTTAAAAGTGCAGATCTTAATTGTTTTTCGAAATACCGTTTATGTAACTTAAGTGAGGAATTTAATCGACGATTCTGTTGTCTTCTGAACTATTTGTTCGCAAATATGTACATTTTCGTAAACATATAATGAAACCTTTTATGGTTTTATTGTTTTATTGTTTATGGGTTTTGAATTATTAATTGCTGAAGTGCTATTACTTTTTTGTGGAATTGTCCTTCAGTTCAGCTGTTGGTGTTTACTAATTATAATGTTCGGTGTTCAAAAACCAAACTCCATCACATCAAGTGTAACATAACAAGTCAGTTATTCAGTTCAATCCAAGTATATTGTATAAGAATATTTCTTCCTTTTTAAATCACTAAGTACAAGTTTATTCAATAGTCTGCTTCAGTTACTTGGCTTCAATCTCTATTCATAGAACCAACTCTTTTTACAGCATCAATACTTTGCACAGAACCTGGAACCTGGGCCGAGAGATCTTCAGACTTCAGACCTCTCGACCCAGTCTCAGACTCCCACAGAACTGTCCTTCAGAACCCACTCACAGAGCTAAAACATCTGTATTTATATCATATTCTAGGCTGTGCTAAATATAGCCCCAGCTTCAAGTTTAACCAATGAAGGCATTAGGGTTTGGAGCCAAGTTAAAGATACAGACTTACATCAAAGTTACATACAAGATTATATAGCATGCTACATGCAATAACACAAGTAATATATCATAATTCCTCAAAGGGTAACATATAATACTGATACACGTTTGTAATAAAGTGTCATGTGAATTCTGACTACAACGTGTGAAATGAGGAAAAAAGAGAAATCGTACCTTCGATGTTCCGACATTTTGTTTACCGTTTCGGTAACCAGCGTAATCGAGTGGATCACCAGGGGGTCGTTTCCAAAAATGTCGTTGACTTACGATATCGTAACTCCACGACAGTCGTAGGAATGGGGAAAGTTACGACAAAATTACGACTGTCGTAGACTTACGACAGATCCGTTTCCATAAAAATCGTAAGTCTGTCGTACAAATTCGCAACTCACGACAAGTTCCACGATAAGTGATTCGAACGTCACGTGACATTCTTATTTAAAATTTTAGTTGTATAATATGGTGTTCTAGTCCTGTAGTGTTGTATTTATTGAAAGTTATTGATTTGTTTAAAAATGAAATCACAGGCCCGGGATCATAGGCCCGTCTCCGAGGGCCCGTCTTAGTAAACGGTCAACATTAATAATTTTTACATCAAATAACGCAAGAAGGAAGACAGCTTTGGTACAGTTCCATGATCATCATGATCATACACCAGGAATTCTATGACTAAGAAATAATTATGAACCAAATTAACTTAACTTATTCTGAATGAACAAAATCAACTTAAAAGCCCCATATAAAGTTTAAACCACTTTGGCTTACATCTTACCCAATGTTATCAAAGTGTGAAACGTTTTTTTTAATTCAAAAAGTGGTTTTTGAAGGACTTTTTGTTAAAAATAGTGAATTTATTTAAGACTAACTTTGAGAGGTCACACGTACATGTATCTTTTAATAAGCGATAATTTATACCAATACTTAGTATTCATCCTCACATGTTTTTTTGCCAAAATCTTTTTAAAGGAATATTGAACTATGGCAATGCAATTATCGTTAAGTTTCTGGAATTAAATGCCAAAAAGACCTTGACATATTCATTAAACCCACATGTACATACTCTTGTTTATGTTACAACCAACACAAATATATCGGGTGTTCCAAAAATGAGACATTTTTTGACAAATATTTCCTCCGCAATAAGATTACTCGAATTCATGAGAAATTTCTCTCCAGTAGCCCAAATAATATCCTTATTTAGTGGTACAAATATGGACGAGATTGGTTACATATTATGTGAGTAATTTGACAAGTTCAAAATGCGTGTCAAAAATCCAATATAAGTGCTGCGCAATGAGACCGGTACCTTCATAGCGTTTGTGCCAGCTATCAAGTGATGGCATCCCGAGATGGCATCCTGACACTGGCATCAGTTTTTGTCTCAAAAAAGGTTGTCTCTGGGTCAGGTATATTGATTTGTTTCATTGTTAACTGTATCCAAATTCCGTTCTGTCCAAAGTTTTAGTTTGGAAGGATTAACGTTAACGATGTCTTTCAGTGAAAGCGATACGGCTACTATTGAAAATTGTTTCGACAAGGTGAAAGGATGGAGTGGAAGATGAATCCCAGAATCGTAAAGGAATTAAGGGAAAGAGTTGGAGTCATGTCACTGTAAATAGACTACATCCAACATGCATTAAAGGACGGCATAAGTATGTCATGGGAAACGATATCATTGGGAGAAACACACAAAAGCATTTTTGATTGGAAAAATTTCTTCTTTCAGACTCCGTTGATATTGGATATTTTTGCATGCTGTTTCTAATTTGACAACACTCCTCATATTCATAGCACTAGCTAATGATACCACCCCATGCAGACAGATCGCCTAAAACTACATTCGTATGATGCGAGACTCGACTTTCACCGGGAAATTAGAAACATTTTGCCACCCTTAAAGAAACTTATTTTTACTGCTTAATAAATGGTGAATGACAGTCAAATTGCGTTCTACGAGTATAAGTATGAGAATAGCACGACGTATTGATATTTCAAGGTAACTCGTTTGAATAATGATGGCGGTGATTGAAATTACGATGTAAAGATAAAACCGCAACGGAATATTTGTAGATTTCATTAAAAAACTAAGAAATATACATCACATATCGAATTTTTCAAAGAAAAAAACATGTATAGATAGTTAGGCCTGCAGGTTCGATTCCCCCTGGTACATTGGTCTCGGGTATGTCATTCAGTTAATATTTGAAACACAACTATTATTCGAACTTATGATCAGACATAAGTATGATGTGTACTTCGAGGTTATAAAGTAATACTAGTATCATACTGATGTTCGATCAAAAGTTCGAATTACAGTAATGTTGTGTTTCAAATATTAATTGTCATGTTTTTTTCTGACGTGTCGCAAAAAGCTCGCGCACGCATTGTTACACATTTTGTGGCGTAATCCAGAGGATCCTCGCTTTTAACATGATAGAATGTGACGTTTTTGAGAAAAATGTACACACATGAAAATCCTTTCGTCCTCCACATTTACCTCTATATCTCAAAACATTTTAGACGAATAACTCTGATATCATATATATTGTTAATGAGCTAGGAGCATCATAAAACACGAATCAATTGATATTTTAGGTGAAATATATACGTGTTGCTGTGCTTGAAAATAGGCGAATGGCGTAAATTAGCCCTATTTTAATGAATTTTGAAAACCTTTCGTCCTCCACTTTTCCACATACAACAGAAAACACATACTTTTGTGAACAAAATCAACTATTTATTAATAAACTAGAGTTTAGGAGCAAAATAATCATGTATGATTTATTAAAAATTGATCTCGTATTTTTTGTTTAATGTACACCTGAAAAGTTGAAGGTCGCTGTCAACAGATTCTATTTTTCAGACTCTATGACGTCACAATATGGGACGCTTGCTAAAATTCATCCTTTGAAATAAAACTTCCATCTTCCTTTATCAAGACGAAAATTAAGTATAATAGTCATATATTGTTTGAGTTATGAGCGTTTAAAGACGAAAAATAATTCAAAATGTAACGTGTCAACATGGGATATTTGCCAGATGTTTTGGTAAAAAACTCTTTCTTAAAAACGAACGCGCAAAAAATGTGAACGGAGTGTAGTTGATCTAAAATCTTCATCGAAACAGCTTTAAAATGATATATAACTTTAATTAGAATATTATCTTATAATCCGGGGAATCAAAGTTACATTCACGCGATACCCTTAAAAAACAAATGCGCCACCTTTTTGCGACACGTCTCTGTTTCGGAAAATTCGGTATGTGACGTATGTTTTTTAGTTCTTCAAAGAAATCTACAAATGTTTCGTTGCGGTTTTATCTTTACATCGTTTTTTCAATCACCGCCATCACTTTTCAAACGACGTTACCTTGAAATATCAAGACATCATGCTATTCTCATACTTATAAAACGCAATTTGGCTGTCATTCATCATTTATTAAGCAGTAAAAAATTAATTTTCTCCTTGGGTGACAAATTATTTCAAGTTTCCTGGTGAATGTCGAGTCTCACATCATACGAATGTAACTTTAGTCGATTTGTCTGCATGGGGTGGATACCCTATACTTCCTCAGTAATTTTTTTAAAGAATTTAACTTGTCTATTGCTGAGAAAATACTTGTCAATAGTGTCTGAGACTAATATGTCAGAAAAATAAATGTTTACTTCTTTGAATCAAACACTGCCAAATTTTATTATTTGATTGCACGTATTTCACAATTGTAGCCATTTGTGTCCTATGATGGAAATATTGTTCTTGATATTCAATTCACTCATTTTATCACCAAGTTTTCACAGTAAATATTATTTATTTATATTGTGAGTGATATTTTTACTTGCTGTCTTTAGTCTAATTACAGCATAAAAAAGTAAGAACTTTTTAGTATGAGTTTCCTAGCGTTCAGAACTTAAATGCATCACGTGCATTGAATCACTGGACTAGGCAATATTCAAAATTCTCTGATTTATATAATAAATTAGGAATCATTTTGATAATGTATTCCAATCAGATAGTTTATACTCGGAAAGTATGCTTATGTATAATTGAATTCCTTTTGCTAGATCAGTCGTATTTCAGGCATAAAACGCGAAGTGAAAACCTCTTATCACCCATCTCAAAATAGATCTTTTCTGTATTCTCAGTCTTTTTTACTCAAGATTAAGTATACATCTCACATATTTCCATCTTTACATATATCTCAAATATCTTAGATATTCAAAAAACGAAATACTGCAAAAAATAACTAAAAATTTGGGGGGTTCGCATAATTGCTGGAAAGGGTGGGTTCGAATTTTTTAAGGCAAGATTTGGGGTGGGTTCGCACGAACCCTCCGAACCCCCTCTCCCTACGGCCCTGTGACTCACTTTTTGGGACACCAGGAGTGTGTTGACTGACGTCCGCACATAACCGATTAACTTATGTCAAAGTTTGAACACCCTGACAACGGTAAAGTTAGATACCTGTATTACAAATGGCAGTAGGTTCGTATTCGATTCAATTTTCATCATAGGTCTATTGAAAGGGAAAGCCCATGATATCCTTAAACTAGATTTAATTCCTTTGGTGCAACAATCAATCAAAGTCTTTTCCTACTTATTGTTTATTATGCTCTACCATCGAAATGAATCCTTAATTTTACCGATCAAAATATGACACAGGACAACGGATACTGTAAATGACAACGGTAAATGTGGGTCAAATGTGCTTTAAAATCGGGATGGGAACGGTAACATTTAATGATTGTAATGTAACGCTAGAAGCATTGGCTCTTTATGGTATGACTCCATTATAAACATATAAAATACATTTATAAACTATGGCTGTAATAGTTATGATTATGGTCCCCCATGGGTTATGGTCTCCCCTTCTAAAGACCCTTCAGGAAAGAGGTCACCATATAAATCAATGGAGAGTAGGACCATAAATTGATAGGACCTCCTACCCTTTTACACCTGTTCCAAACTGCATTGGAGTACTCTAGTTTCGGTCTTTAGTACGAACGAAAAAATTCAAAAAGGCCTTAGTCAAGCTTTAATGTCCTGTTTAAGAACCCATGTTCTTTCTTTTGAACATGGATTCAAGCAATACTATCCCACATGATGTACTTAACTTGTTGAGATTCGATCAACTTAAGTTTTCCGAGAAAAAGAGAATTTTTTATCTTTTCCCATAGTGACATACATGATAGGGTTGTAATAATAATATACATGGTGGGCCAAAAAAAATTGCAACCTTTTTAGAAGGCAAAAAAAGTATCATAACATTATAGTATTGACATGAAATTTTTTACAGAAACTTAAGGATAGGCATATTTTACCATTTAAATACTTAAGCTAATACTGACTTCAAGTTTTTTGTCAGATGTTTGAATATTAATTGCAAATTGTTCACTTGTCCGTCCGGGATATACCATTTTCCTTGAAAATCATTGCGTAAGTCAATTGCGGAAAGTTAAACGTAGATCTCCAATTTCCGCATATGTTTATTAATACGACGGAGAGATGTTTTTATGTCCAGCGTACAATTGAGTTACGTGGACGTAAATGGAAATATTTACGTTGGCTTTATGAATAAGGCTTCTGTACTGCCCGGCTGTAAAGAATATCTGGGAGCCCCGCTCCCGTTTCTTCTTCCTGTTTCTCCCGTTTGTGTTTCAGGGCACTACTAACACCCACGTCACATTTCCTACGGCCGCCGTGCGGTCTATCATTTCTGCGGTCAGTAGCTTTTCTATGCTCGCCGTAGAATTACTGCGCTCTCATACTTTTGCAGTAACATTTCCCACGGCAGCCGCACGGCGAATTTTAAATTTCTGTTGATAAATAATACTTATTTTCATTTTATTCACATCAAGACAATTTATAAAAGTTATTCATAGTGCTAGGATGTAATATCAAATGAAAAGTGTTCGTGAAACATTGACAAATAATGATTTAATCTTGTTGAGCCAGTTGATTTCTACAGGCACCGCAGAAATGAACAAATATTATAACTCCGAGTTATAATTTCTACGGCGACTCTGCGGCCTGTAAAAAACTGGATACGCCGAACGGAGACCGCAAGGCGAGCGTAGTTTTCCCACGCTCGCCGTAGAAATACACTGATTTAATTGATCTGCGGTCGACGTACGGCCGGCGTAAGACAAATGTGACTGGGGTGTAGAGAATCATAATTTTTTCATTGTTGTTATTTGCACTCACCTCATCATACGTCTAGTTCCCATTGTCATTTCTCAATTTCAATTCAATTCTAATTGACGATATGGAAGGCGGTATAGTGGCTATAGTGGGAGATGTGGTCTTTAACTTTAACGGATTTCAATACACATCCCCTTTTCAGGAATTGTTAATACAGTGTAGAAGAATATTTTGATATGTTTAAATCGAGAAAAACAAGATCCTCTTTTTAGAAAATGAGCCTAACATTTTTAAAAAGTGCGAAGGTGGGGGTCCTAATTTTTCAGAGAGTTTGAATGATATTTTACTATCATGGGGACTTCACTTGAAAGAAAACATATTGTTTTAATAATAACCACTGTACTGATGGCCAGAAAGTGCCCATGGTGAAAAATATGACCGTCTAAAATCACTTGCCATACGACAAATGGACCTTTGGATTTTCATATAATATACCATCACAAGTTCACAGAATAAGCGACGATAAGGTCCCGTGAAATGAAAAAGTGATTAAAGAGTAGATGCGATGGTTAAGTCCGTCATCTGTGACAACGGTAGCTGCCTTTACCGTTGTCAGGGTGTTCCGGTGTAGGTAGCAAGACAGTTTACCGGAGACAAATATACATGATTTCAGAATAAAGTGAATGTAGATAGTTTGTCGATATGCAACTCAAGAAAGGAAATAATGCAATAAATAATTGATGGTGAACTGACTTTTGGTAAAACAATAATATTTCTCACCTTGCTTCATTCGTTAAAAAGACAAGCCAAAGAGGCGAGAAACGTTAATGTTTTAAATTATAATTATTCAATACACCATGAAGAGAAAACATGTTTATTTTTGATTTACACAATTTTAAAATTGTTATGTCTCTTTAAATTAACCCAACTCAATCAACCTTCATGAGAAATAATATGAAGAGAAAACCATGTGAACGATGATGCGCTATATAACGAACTTCAGTTTCTCTATTTTTCAATGCATAGAAATGGCCATTTACCTTATGTTTCGGAGGGCATGAAACCGCAATTTCTTCAGCTTTCTGTCAAGTGCTCGCGTTGCATAAGCCAACGTAAATTGTGACATAATCTATGAGATAATTAAAACCCCACAAATAACTCAAATATTGCTCTACGACAACCTTGCGACACCCCCTTGGGGTGTCGTGGGTTTCACACGATAGCTATTGTCTTTCTACGACAGGTGCACGACATGGTAGTTTGTCGTAGGTTTACGACAAATTTCTGGAAACGGAAATTTTTTACTTGTCTTGAAAACACAATTGAAGTTACGATATCGTAAGTCTACGACATTTTTGGAAACGACCCCCTGTGCATATTTCTACTGCTGCAAGGCAATTAGACGATATTCCAGCAAATTGCGATGCCGATAATGTCTTTAAAGCCTGACATGATAACTTACTGCAAATCTATCATAACTATCCAAACGATTTGATCACTTCTTGTGAGTTTTGAATTTTTGTTTGTTTGAAGATAAGACCAAAACTTGCGAAAATGGCTATCGTCGAATTCAATTTTTGTAATCACGACATCTCCATAGGGTGGTTCATAAAATAAGGTGCACTTTGATCTCATTTGAAAACTATACATTCAATCAATGTTAAATTTTCAGAGTTGATTATTTATGGATGTGGCAACATTTCTATGAGGTCTGATTACAATAGCTTCTTGTTTGGTAAAATTATGGTTGCTATGGCAACCAAAATTAGGGTACCACGGGTCAGGTTGGATTTTTCATACATGCAGATTATTCGCATGTATCGTTTAATGCTTCAAAGTATATACAACTTTATTTATAATATGCAAATATGATGACAGTTATTTCTAGTTGTGTTTTCAATGTTTCTAAAGTATCTGCTATGTGCTATCACGATGTCATATGGTGCTTTGTGTATGGAATATCATTTTGATAGACAGACGCCAAATTAGCCACCTGGCCCAGAAAATCAGCCATTTGGCTCAAAATGGAAGGCCAACAAAAAAGAAGACAAAGATGATTGACCCACCCTCTTTATCTAAAACATATTTCTATCGCATTTTCAAGGTGTCATCAAGCTGTGGTGTGGGTGTAGAGACGGTTGCTATATTAACTCGAATGGACAACCCAATCGGCAATTACGTGGGACACTCTCTTGAAATCATAGATGCCATTGAAACAATGCAAGGAAACGGACCTTCAGATCTCGTGGAGCTCGTGTGCACTCTAGGTATATTCAATTCTTCATTGTATTTAGGTTTATGTATTGTACAGGGTGGACCCAAGAAACCAATACCCAAGTTTAAAGAAGAATATCATATGATATATGTTGAACCATCCCATATATTATATATCATCTTAAAGATAAATCATTTCCTATTATATTATTTAGCCCACCTGTATATACAGGGTGGGCCAAAACGCCACTTTTTCGTGACACTACAACTTTTTTATATTCCAACCTACATACCCCAAATGTTGCTGTTATACAGTATAGTGCCAGGGGTTCTTAGTAATAATATAATGCAACACGTCGTTCAACTTGGATTATATTTAATCTAAAACAGGAGTTCAGTGACGTGGCGCATTTGTTTTTTAAGGGTATCGCCTGAATGTAACTTTGATTCCCCGGATTATAAGATAATATTCTAAGTTATATATCATTTTAAAGCTGTTTCGATGGCGTTTTTAGATCAACTACACTCCGTTTACGATTCTTGCGCGTTCAAAATAGTTTTTTACCAAAACATCTGGCAAATATCCCCTGTTGACACGTTCCATTTTTAATTATTTTTTATTTAAACGCTCATAACTCAAACAATATATGACTATTATACTTATTTTTCGTCTTGATAAAGGTAGATGGAAGTTTTATTTCAAAGGATGAATTTTAGTAAGCGTCCCATATTGTGACGTCATAGAGTTTGAAAAATAGAATCTGTCGACAGCGACCTTTTTTGCTCATTTTTTGTTACCTTCAACTTTTCAGGTGTACATTAAACAAAAAATACGAGATAAATTATTAATAAATCACACATGATTATTTTGCTCTTAAACTTTAGTTTATTAATAGATAGTTGATTTTGTTTGCAAAAGTATGTGTTTTCTGTTGTATGTGGAAAAGTGGAGGACGAAAGGTTTTCAAAATTCATTAAAATAGGGCTAATTTACGCCATTCGCCTATTTTCAAGCACAGTAACACGTATATTTATTTCACCTAAAATATCAATTGATTCGTGATTTATGATGCTCCTATCCCATTGTTAATACATATACAATATCAGAGTTATTCGCCTTAAATATTTGGAGATATAGATGCAAATGTGGAGGACGAAAGGATTTCCATATTTGTACTTTTTGCGACACGTCAGTTGAGTTGGTCCGCCACCCTATTTGATGATATATTTCCGTTTTAGTCGCCTTGCTGATATAGCAGTATCAATGAAATGTTAGCTAAGTTTTTTCAACAGGTCTTAATTGCCAGCTTTAGTTGAGCAATTTTCTAAATTGGGTGCCTTCATACAATCTCTTGAAGACCTTGTCATACCCTATACTCACTGCATCAGGGCTATTAGCTTGGCGATCATAAGGCCGTATCTGTTCAGGAACATTTTGCAAATTTTGCTTATTTCTCATGGCACACCACATGTTTAAGTAAGACACTGGTGACATATTTTATTCAAGTAAAAGTGTATAATTCATGATCCATGGGTAGATCACAACCTCAAATTTCATTTGGTATGCAAATTATGATTTTGTATCAAAAATTAAAAAAAAGTTATAGCATTTTGAAAAAAGTGGCGTTTTTTGGCCCACTCTGTATATATATTGGAATAGTGAGTGTTGGATTGTAAATAAGCTTCGATACGCATATCACGCATTTAATTTAATTAAGAAATTCATGGCTGTATAGAAGATGTAATATTGGACTCTCAGGTATGGTTCAATGTTCTCGTGGAGACTGTTTCATGTGTTAAAAAGTTAGATCTTGTATACGAGATAGAATTCTTTGGGTAAACTATATTTTGCCAGAAATCTTATTCCATATATGAATTCCTTGTAGGCGGACATCTTTTAAAAAATGCTGGGAAGGTTTCAACACCAATGAAAGGATATCAACTTATTGAAGAAACCATCGCCAATGGTTCGGCCCTGGAGAAATTCCGCCTAATGATGCAAGCTCAGGAGGTCGATGAGACAACCGCTAATTCTTTATGCAAGAAAGATGTTGACTTTTTCAGTATCTTCAGACCGTCCAAGCTAAAAACCGATGTAAAAGCAGACAGCGAAGGTAGTCCCATGATATACAAAAATGATTTCTCTAAAATAATTACAATAAATCAATATTAAGAATCTGAGGTCATTGGAAGACACTGCCACAATTACGATATGGTGGTTTAAGTTGTGTAACGGATAACAGCTTAAATTCCTATTATTTTTATGAACAGTTCCTTAGACGTGTCGTAAAAAGGTGGCGCATTTGTTTTTTAAGGGTATCGCGTGAATGTAACTTTGATTCCCCGGATTATCAGATAATATTCTAATTAAAGTTATATATCATTTTAAAGCTGTTTCGATGAAGATTTTAGATCAACTACACTCCGTTCACATTTTTTGCGCGTTCGTTTTTAAAAAAGAGTTTTTTACCAAAACATCTGGCAAATATCCCATGTTGACACGTTACATTTTGAATTATTTTTCGTCTTTAAACGCTCATAACTCAAACAATATATGACTATTATACTTATTTTTCGTCTTGATAAAGGTGGACGGAAGTTTTATTTCAAAGGATGAATTTTAGTAAGCGTCCCATATTGTGACGTCATAGAGTCTGAAAAATAGAATCTGTTGACAGCGACCTTTTTTGCTCATTTTTTGGTACCTTCAACTTTTCAGGTGGACATAAAACAAAAAATACGAGATCAATTTTTAATAAATCATACATGATTATTTTGCTCCTAAACTCTAGTTTATTAATAAATAGTTGATTTTGTTCACAAAAGTATGTGTTTTGTGTTGTATGTGGAAAAGTGGAGGACGAAAGGTTTTCAAAATTCATTAAAATAGGGCTAATTTACGCCATTCGCCTATTTTCAAGCACAGCAACACGTATATTTATTTCACCTAAAATATCAATTGATTCGTGTTTTATGATGCTCCTAACCCATTGTTAATACATATACAATATCAGATTTATTCGCCTTAAATATTTTGAGATATAGAGGCAAATGTGGAGGACGAAAGGATTTCCATAAGTGCTCATTTTTCTCAAAAACGTCACATTCTATCATGTTAAAAGCGAGGATCCTCTGGATTACGCCACAAAATGTGTAACAATGCGTGCGCGAGCTTTTTGCGACACGTCTTAACAATTATATAACGTATGTGGTTGGAATGATCCGTTGCACTCCACCATTGATTTTCCCTCGTATGTATTATGCACTTTTTCAGGATATATTAGTTCAGTTGATGCGTTTGCTTTAGCAAATGTGATCAACTCTCTTGGCGCCGGACGTGCAAAGGCGGGGGACCAAATCAACCACAGTGTTGGGCTCCATTTGAGAAAACACATTGGGGAACGCGTAGAGAAAGGTGTGTCAATGATGATTATTATCTAAAAAAAGAGAAATCAAAACATCATTAGAGGTGTATCGCAAACCATTGAACCCCAGTTTTTTCCAGCGTTTATTAAAATATTTCGTGATTGTTTTGTTTCTAAAATATGATAATAATTTTTCAGGTGAAGTTTGGTTGACAGTTCATCACGAGTCTCCTCTTAGTGGCGACCATTTGAAAACAATTAGAAATACTCTTGAGCTGCAAGACAAAGAGCTGCCTGCCGGTTGTGCAAGTCGTATAATTGATATCATTACTAATGAGACTATCCAAGGCAAAAGAGACACACCCAGGGCTAATGATATGCAGAACGGTTCCTGTGATTAACAATATAGTAACCTACATGTACATTACACGTAATCGCAGACCTTAAAACAGGAATCATCCGTGATTTCTAACGTAAAGTAATAAAAGCATCTTGCGATAAAAAGGCTGCTGTTTGATAACATCACTCTATTTTGATTATATGAGGGTCCATAATTACAATCTCTTCATTGTACGTGTGTGCATCATAAATAAAACTACTTGTGTAGGAAATGGAAATCCATTTTTTATGTCCCGACCACATATTGAGGGGCCATATTGTCTGTCTGTCTGTCCGTCCGTCTGTCCGTCGACAGTTTTCTCAAGCACCGCTACCGTAGCCTACGGGTATCCCCTTCAAATTTTGAGGTATAACTTATGAGTATATACAGATCCGGCAGAAAAAATTTCGACTCGATACCTACTCCCTGTCGGCTATTTTGAAGTCAAATGTTAAATTCCTCGTCTGCGAACTTTAACAAAAATGGCTTCAGAGTTACTTTTATAACATCTTCTTTATCTCTCTTCATTTTAATAGTCTTATAAGGTTTTAGACATGTTGGCTCAGTCATGGCAGTCATTTTAAATGTCTTTAAAGGCCCACAATACTTAATTTAGAAGAAAAAAATCATTGAAATATATTACTTAAACACTCGCTCAAATATGACACAAAGTTTGATTTGCTTTAATATTGAACCAAGAAAAAAAAACTCGCATAGAAAAAAAATCATTTGAAGTTCAGAGATCATTATACGTGCATGTACGTACATGTTAAACAAAGTGCATGTTTTAAATTACTGTACGTTGCGACACTTCTATAAAAAGTAATGTATGATGTAATATAAACAACTTTTCCATCTTTCAATGACATTGATAAAAACTTGATATATTAAGCTTAACAGATCTTTACTTTTTGTCTATGTGTTTCAGGCAAATTGTTATAGTGGGATCAATTTCAATTTTTCAAGTAAGATTCTTAGTATGATAAACGTCAACTAATTAGGGTTTGGGTGTTTTGGGTAAATGTTGAGGCGTCTCTGTAAAGTCTAGTCTTGTCTACCCGTTTCCGGCTTATGGTTTAACATAATGAGGATCGACTGCCGTTGTGCAACATCGAAATTCTGTCCCATGTATGGAAATGTAGTGATTCAAAATTTGAATTTTTTTCTCAAGATCCAGAGGGTGAATTTTCTCAAATATTTTTATAAATACATTTGTTGTTCTATAGAAATGTTCCCTATTTTTTTTAAAGAAAATATCTGTATTGTGGGATTTTTTTGAAACATAAAAAAAATTCCCATTGAGAGCAATCTTTCATTTTTAGAGATAACTAAACGGCCAATTATCTTTCTAATTTTCACATATTTTGTTATACATCAGTATATCTTTTACCAAGATTTTTTTCAAGAAAAGCTGAATGGTAGAAAAAAGTGATACACTGTGTCGCGTATTTTAGATTGGGCAAGAAACGTTGTATTGTGCGAAACCTCTCAAATGTATTAGGGTTACGTATGGACGTCTTCTGACTGACTACCATATCTCTTGGCTTTGCCGAGTTGGTTCTCTTAGACCTCTTGGGTTATGGTACATTTGTTTAGCATCCTAATCTGCAATTTCACGCGTCTTACATAAAAAGTTATAAAATATATAAAATCGATGGAATATTACCAATATAGGACTTATTATAATGAAAATGGTACTTGAAATAAGTGTAACATGCCCTCTAAATGAAAAGTTATCTTCATTTGATCAATCTTTAACAACCAGTACATTCGATATAAAGAGAGTTGAAGTGACCTCGGCCATCGATATTAAAAACATTGACTGTTTACGAGAGCCCAGTCACAGTGACAATGATATTGTGCTTATGCCAAACTACACATTTCGGATAAATGAATACTATTTGATTGTTGTAGAATTTAAAATCTATGTTGATCCCAATGTGCCCTACACCTTGTCTTATGAAGAGGTAATTGACAAACGTTTCCATCAAACCGACTGAGCAAAATCCATCTTGCCTTGTGTCGATCTATGAGATCAGGGTACTAACACCCCTGTCACATTTCCTACGGCGACCTTGCGGTCTATCATTTCTGCGGCCAGTAACATTTCTACGCTCGCCGTGGAATTTCTGCGCTCTCATACTTTTGCAGTCACATTTCCCACGGCAACCGCACGATGAGTTTTAAATTTCGATCTGTTGATAAATAATACTTTTTTTTCATTTTATCTACATCAGGACAATTTATAAATGTTATTCACAGTGCTAGGATGTAATATCAAATGAAAAGTGATCGTGAAACATTGACAAATAATGATTCAATCTTGTTGAGCCAGTTGATTTCTACGGGGACCTCAGAAATGAACAAATATTATAACTCCGAGTTATAATTTCTACGGCGACCCTGCGGCCTATAAAAAACTGGATACGCCGCACGGAGGCCGCAAGGCGAGCGTAGTTTTCCTACGCTCGCCGCAGAAATACACTGATTTAATTGATCTGCGGTCGACTTACGGCCGCCGTGCGACAAATGTGACTGGGGTGTAAAAGTGCATGTACTCAAGCATCGTATCGGTCTGCATTCTTATTTACATCAGGTCAGGCAGCCAACAAATAATTAATGTCGTAAAATAAAACAAGATAACTTGAAAAATAAGACTCAGTATCCAAACCAATAAGAGCAACAACACCAAAAAGATAAGCTGAAGTAAAACCAAATATAAGCGTATCAATATGCAAAGATACTAGAAACTAAGCACTGAAAAAGAAGGACAATAAGGAAGAAAATTTGCTCATATTCTTGTTGACAAATCTGCATTGCTGAGCTCTAGATCTGATACAATGTCTGCACGCACTCCTGCAGATCTTATTGCTAAAGTACGAGACAAGATCCCATTAACTCAAGATGAAGTTGAGGGATTTGTGGATGCTGTAACAAAAAATGAAATTGAACAAGCACAGATTGGTAAGTACAAGATGATCAAAGATGTTGAAAATTCTGTCGTTTTGCGATTCTTATTTATTACAGTCTCAAACTTCGAATGTTATTTTTTAGACAATTGATCATTCATAAGAATCATGTAATTTCTAGTCATCTGGAATATGTTGATTGTAGACTGCCGCCCAGTACACTATATTGAAACTATTGTAGAATAAAACTGATCAACTCTATGTGTTTGATTTGAGAGTAAACAAACATAAGAGACATAGGGAAAGTTGTCTAAACTGGATTATTTCGATGATAGATAGTCAGAAAATAAAATTGACCCGACATACCCCGCGAGATTTACGAGAATGTGTCGACTACTGAAATCTTTAAACATATAAGTGATGACAAATTGCAGATAATTTCTCAATAGCATTACTAATAAGCGTACACAATTATTTTAGTCAGGGGTGGATCTGGGAACCAACAAGGTGAGGGGGGGGGGAAATTTCAGGTAAGAGAAAAAACCACGAAAAAAATTTGCTCCCCAAAAATCCCAAAGTGGGCCCAAATTTTGAGGCCAATTTTCTTCAAAATTTGGCCTGAAATTAAAAAGTAAGGCCTTAAAAGGCCCAGTAATGACCAAAAATGACAAAAAAAGTAATGACCAAAAAAATGTTTGGGGCTTGAAAGCCTTTTTTCGCCCAATTTTTTTTCTGGGCTCACCCAAGGGGGGGGGCAGGCCCCCCAGATCCGCCAGTGTTATTTATTGGTTGTAGATCGAAATATACTAATCTGTACTTTGTAAACCACCTTCGTACAATAACATGAATATTATATGGGAATATATAACACCTCAGTTTTGAATCTATTCTGATAAAATTAGAAAACAATTTTACATGTCTTATCTTGGCAACGTGGCTTTACCTTGGCAGATTTTGTTATTTATTTCGACCAATTTTAAGTATCACAATTATTTTAGAATTAAAAAACATTAATATATAATTATTGTCGAATGGACATAAGTGAATAAAAATGATATGCGTGGGGTTATTATAAAATCTACCTATCTGAAGATATTTGAAGTTATGTTGTTAAATGTTTGAGAGTCAAAAGTAAAAATTTGTGATTGCTTCAGCAAATGTTGATTCGATACGTAACAGGGGTCTAATTCTCTAAAATTAGTAAAGTTACTAATTAGTAACTTTACTAATTTAGTAAGTTTCAAAAGGTTACGGAATCGCAAATTGTATTTCTTGAAAGTTTGTAACGTTTTAGTAAATTTTTTTAGACTTACGAAATTAGTAAGTTTCGATTAAGCTTTGTGACGTCCAGTTTCAAAGAAACTATATTAATGCGAGGACATCTATTAAAGCATGTGAGGAAATATAGTCCCTAATTATATCAACAATTAATCGCTGTAAATGTATTTTAATTCATCTGGATATCGGACCTAAATGGATTTCTTGCATACTTAATCTATCTGAAAAGTTAGTAAAGTTACGAATTAGTAAGTCTATTGTTGTTGCTTGGCCTTACTAACAACTTGCATTTCTCGAAAATTAGTAAATTCACGAAGATTAGTAACTTTCTCGTAAAGTTACCAAATGATGACGTCATTTGCGATTTTTATCGTAACTTTAATATAGTACCTCCAGAGATCTTGAAAGTCTTTCGTAAGTCACCCTTTACCCCTTTACTTTTTTTCCAGATATTATATAAAGCAAATAGATTAAGTATGCAAGAAATTATTAAGGACTATATCCCCTCACATGCTAAGATGTCCTCGAATTAGTATTAGTTTCTCTGGAACTGCAATCTCTGTATTCATTAATGACAATAAATATTTCAATATGTTTAAGAACTTGTAGTCCATGCAGTTCCATGCAGTTCAGTTATCATCTTAATTGTTGGCAATGCTTTGCTACAATGTAGAAAAACAGTGTGACATTGTACATACACATGTTGACATATGTATAATGAGGTGATAAGAAAGGTTATCTTAACTGACTGTCAATATTCACATTGAAAATTAATTGAAAGATAAAGGTACTTTCAAAGTCAAATTTACAGAAAATTATGTACATATTCAAAAATCTTGAAAACCTATGTTTCTGTAGATGTAGAGGCATCTGCACTTTTTATGCGCGAGGTAAAGTTCTCGCAGCGCCCATACGATGTCTAAGAATCAACTAATTGTTGTCGATGTCCGTACAATTTTGAAAAATACTAATCTTTAAGCAGATTTTAATTGAATCTGACACGGCCTTGGGTGGGTTATATAGTGGAGAGTTGTTGGTTATAGAATGTAATGCAGTTATATGAAATACT